CGAACGAGTCTACGCGGGTCGTGGAGGCCCGTTACTCGAAAGCCCCGGTAACTTAACGTACCCGGAGCAATATTTTAATATTAAAATTTCTAAAAGAGAGAAACTGGTTCTAGCACCTAAGGTAGTCTATTCTGTTTCTTTAAATAAAAGTGTTTTTTCATAATTGTATTTCAAAGTTTTTGTATCCCTGGCCATCTTGAATGAAAACAGAACAATCCTACTAGCGGCAATAAGCTGCCGGAACCTTCGAGAAACAGCCCCCGCTCCGGAAGAAGCAGTCCGGGACTGCACTAGCAAGACTCTGTTGCCTTTTCGGCGAGAATGTGAATTCTGATCGTGGACCTATTTTAAAATGAAAAAGAAGTGAAGAAATAAGTTCCCTTTTTGGATGAGTTTCTCTGTTTTTGTCAGACGTTTATTCAGTTATGTATGTAATCGCGTCTTATTTTAGATTTTCTTATGGCGGAATGTTTATGTAATCATATTATGATAAGCCATGAATCGATTTGTTTCAATCCAGCTCTCTTACAAGACAATAAGCGCATAAACTAGAATTTTTAAAAGTGGTCTTCGGTCTTGGTCCGCGAGTCAAGTTGGTGTGATGAGGAATAAATCTTATCGCACGCTTCTGTTTGTTCGCCTACCGCGTTGATTTTATTTAGCTGCTCTTCAATTCTTCTTTGCGCCATTTTGAGTTTCTCTCGGTCTTGATTCCTTCGTGGAGTGGCCTTACAAATTCTACTCAGCAACAGGGGATATCTGAAATACAATCCGTATGATTGTTTATTCCTGGCCGCACATTTCAGGTTATATCCGGTCAAACTGGTATATTATATAGATAGGTCAAATCTTGTTTGAGATTGACTTGTTGCTTGACTGAATGCAAACATGCCTGATTGGAGGAATGAATAAGTGACTAGGTGCCTCACTGCTCAATTGACCGACTGACTGATTGAATGACTGATCTAGCGACTGAAAGACTAACAGAAGGACGAGTTGAGATACGGACAAAAGGAATGACGAACTGACGAGCTGACCAACTGACGAGCAGACCAACTGACTGACTACCTGCCTATCAGGCCACCTGACAGACTGACAGCCTGACTGACTACATGAAGGGATGACGGACTGACGGACCGACAGACTGACGGATTGAGGGGAGGGTGAAATGACTGACGAACTGACGGACTGAAGGGATGAATGACTGACTGACTGATTAACTGAAATACGTAAGTACTATCGAATTGACTGACCCAAATATAGACAAAATTAACCGTCTGCCTGATTGACTTGCCAGCTAATCGACTTTGAACTTACTTCATGATTCGTTGTACCGGAGCGAGGATAAATGAGTTCAAGTCCATTTTGCGACACTTTGGATTTTCACGACATGTTACCTTAAAATAAACAATACGCAAGTAAAATGATTAAATCGCACGAGAAAAATGGAAGACTGATTGATTTTCGGGCTAACTACTTTAAAAAATAATAAAACTTAAGTACTTCTCAAATTTTGTAATTTTACTTTATGAAGGTCAAGTTACCACTCACATTCAGGAATATTCTTAGCAGCTCCGTTTTCTTCTGAAGAGATTCAAGCAACGCAGAGGCGGCGGTCTAATAAAAGAGAGAAATATCAGAACCAGAATGAAATGACTTTTAAAAACGCAGAATTTATATCTTTGTCTTGTTAATAAAACGTTGGATACACGAGGACACTCTACCTGTTTTGAACAGTAAATTTCGTAGGCTTGAAAGAAATCTACGCTCTCCAAGAAAATGCTTCCAACGTTGACGTTAGAAAATTCCTAGATGAAACAAAAACAGAAGTCACTTACAAAGATTACTGAAATATGTGATAAAAAACAAAATTTAGCCTTTCAATATATTTCAGATTCGTGCCTGTTACCTGCCCTCCCCCTTCCCATCCCCTTCTCCCCCTTCCTCCCCCCCCCCCCGAAAAAAAATGTGCTTTTACCAAGGAGCTATTGTCGCTGGTTTCTTTTGAATTCCAAAATTGAAATGGCAAGTTATGAAAGGCGGCAAAAATAAGTCAAGAAGACAATGGTAATGCAGTTTATTTTGGGAGCTCCCCTATGTTGACACGCTATGATTACACCTTAATATCAGTATGCATATTCTCCATACTGATCTCTATACCTTTGACAAGGAAGAATTTGTTAAACAATCAAGGGCGTCTTTACTTGCTGATCATTTCCTTCTACTCTCATAGCCTTCATGCGCGATTCAGGGGCGATATTGTAAGGAGGAATTAGATTCTGATCACTCTCAAGGGGTTGTAGGGTTTAAGAACCTGAACAATATAAGAACAGTTGAGCGTCAGCCTTACGCTCGTTCATTACCTCATCGCCATTTGCAACAGACTCTTCCAAACTTTTCTGCAGCTTTGCGCAAAACTTTGAATTCACCTCCAGCAATTCCTAGTGACAAAATAAACATTTGATGTCAAATTTTTTTGTTAAAACTGTATTTAGTTCTTTTGTGTTTTGCGTGTGTTTGTGAGAAAAAATCTGATAATTAATCTTTATATTTCATAATTAGTTGGGACACTTCTCCAGAGAAACTTTTGTGATTTTCTTTCGCCCCCCTCTCTCTCTCTCTTATCATTTTGTTTATAACCAATTTTTGCATAACCATCTTGCAGACCAACATTAGACAGACAGGGGTGGTTGTAAGCATCCCAAAAAATGTGTCTGGGACTGTAGGTCAATGTATCAGGAAGGCAAAATCATGCAATATTGGCGTTCTCAATTGAAAACCTTTACGTGTATGGATGGTTGTGGATTTTCCTAAGTGGTTCTCTAACACTTAAGATATTATTTCAATTAAGAACAACCTTGCTTACATCAACTCGTTATTTCAGTTACCTGCAAATTGAGAAATATCGCAGCCAAATTTTCTGGACTTAAAATCCCTCCAGACTGCATCGGCAAGTAGAACTCCTGAGAAGAGAGACCGAAAAATGCCATTTTGAATGCTCATGCATTTTAAAATTCCTTATCAATAGATATTTTTTGTTATTTACTATGTTTGGGTGATCTTGACTTGGGAGAATGCCGCATCGGTAGATTTCAGGTACACTTCGTTGACTAACACGTAATATTGGAATTGCATGATTTTTCCACAAATTATACATCAATTTGTTCCATACGAGAGAAATTTTAAACTATTAAGTTGTTTTTGAAATTTTACTTTAAAAACCCTCGGTTCCAACTACTGCAAAATGTACCGTGAACCGATGAAATGACACGCCGCGTGGTTAGTGTAAGCACAGGCATAAATGGGGTAAGTTAATTCATCCCCTTTGGTTCAGTTCTTTGACTGACAGCCAATCCGACACAAACATTCTCGGACTAGAACTATGCATGAATGTCAAAATGAATCTTGAAAGGGGGAGGGAGTGAAAGTTAGCGATCCCTTGAGCTTTTAAACCGGATATTTACTGCAGAAGGAGTTTCAACTGTTGTTAGGTCGTCCAATTTCAAAGCTGAAACTCCAGATTATTAAGGTGAAAAACTCCAGTGTAAATACTTGATCATCTTGGTACGCAAACTGAAATAGTTTTTTCTTCGTTAGAGCTTAACCCGTTTTGAACTCGCACCTTTAGTTACTAGTACGGCTCTATGTACAGGAGTTAAACGTTCAATGAAAAAGGACAGTGCTGTATTCTGGAAAAGTTATTCCGTGTACATGCATTTAGAACCACAAAGCCATTTGTTTACTTTATCTATGTAAAAAAATAATGTCTTCAACTACAGAGCTCAATCCCAGCTGTTGTTTTTCTGTCATACATTCGGCTAAAATTTCCCAAGCTAAACACTCCTATCAAAAAGCTCCAAAATGATTATTGATTATGCAAGAATAGTAAAAAAAAAATGATTCCTTGTTATTACAGGATAATTGAAATTCAACACCAACTCGTTGGCTCAAACCCCGCTAGCACAAACTATTGTTCATTTCCCTTAGGAGTTCGAGTCGGGGGCGTTCTACTGTATACATGAATCACGGAATCCCATGAGCAAGCGTTCGAGTTATCAGAACTGGACTTTACATTTAATTTTGCAAGTTTTCTCTGCAACTGTTTCAAGCAATTCCCTGGATAACAACCTTGGAATTCTGACGAGAATAACTTTTAAACGATACTTGACATTAGGGCGTGACAATTGGCAGCTCTGTTATTTACAGTTCTTTCTTGAGTCCTTGAATTGGCTAATTCATGTACACTCTGACACAGAGTCTATCACGTGACCCGTTGCTATAAAAGTCACCTGAACACCGCATAAATTACCGTTGTGAAGGTCATTCAAGGTCTCTTCAATTCAGAGTACGCAACATGCTGAAGTGACAAATTCCTAACGAAATTTCGTCTATGATGGTGTGTACCGTGGCGTGGACCGTTATAATAAGAAACAAAGACTGTGATAAAAATGCGTGCTTACGGTACCACGCATCCAACATTAGGGACCTTAAGTAGACAGGACGGCAACGCCAAGGAAGACTTCGGTTAAAAAATGAATTTCTGCCTTTAATTAGAATTTCAAATATGGCTGCATTTTCTTACTGTCTCATACGGCGCCACATCTCAACTTCAGCATAACGTATAAAAGAAGCGTTGAGTTCCAAATGGAAATTAAAATAATTTGCCGTCGCGGTTTCAGTTCGCAGACGACGCAGATTGTGGTGATTTCACGTTGTTGCTTTGCATAAGACGGCTAAGAAATGTACAAAGTATTAAAATGCACGTGCTGAGCTATTGTTCTGCCAGTTAGATCTTCTGTTTTTCCATGTCCTCGTTGCCGTCGCCGTCGTGGTTTGCTTAAGGTCCCTATTTTCAGGCCAACGAACCTGGTGTCAATCATCCATGACCAAATATAGTCGTAACATGAGATTAGTCAATCCACTCTGTGCAGGGAAACAAAGATTTTGATTGATTAACCCAGGCAGCTGTGACCGCTTGGGCTTGTATACATTTATAGATCACGTACACACGGTTTTAGTTCGGCTACACACCCTTAATCGTCGCAACCTCAAGACAGCTGTGCAACCATGAGCAGATTCAAGACCATCGCTCCACAAGATCGTCCCACCTTCAAGGTGGCCTTTTTGTACCGCTCTCACGGGCTCATCTCCCGGGAGACCTTTATTGCCTTCCAGAAAACTTACGATGAGATTGTCAACTGTATTGTTACTTGCCAAGATGAAGACGAGCTTTGGAAGTTTGTGCGAAGCATGTTCAATTTCGACGACTACGCTGACACAGTTCCAATTAACGCAGCCAACCTTTCCATCACCTTCGATGCAGTTCAACGTCTCATGAACGCCATGGCGTTGGATTGGAACCGAGATATTTCCATCCAGAAGAGGATCCAGCCTTTTGTGTATACCATCCAAGCGGCGAGAGCCCTCGTAGCCAAGCAGTTAAATGTGGAGCCAAAACTCATCGCATTCATGAGGAATGGTTCCGACCCTAACGCTGTCATCAACAACGGAATGGATTTTGAACCCGGCGATGAGGTCGTGGTATGGAACGAGAATCATCCAACAAATGGTGATGTAGCGTGGAAGATTCGCAAAGCACGCTTCCCTAACATCAACATTGTCATAGTCGACTTAGATGGGGAGACAAATGAGGAAAAGATTATTCACAAGTTCGTATCCAAAGTGAACAAAAGCACTCGTATTGTGGCGTTCAGCGAGGTATGTCTTACAACCCTTTCCCTCTAAACTGTTAAACAGTTGTAGATGTATTAATCCCAAGTCATTGTATTGTGTTCTCTGGCTAGTTTATTTACTCTCATAGACTCTCTTCAACAACAACGACAGTTTGGTAACGAGTTATAGGCATTTATTGTTTTGTTCAAACAGCTTAGAATCGCCCGAGCAAACAATATTGAACGCGCTGTTTTAACGAACCAGCCAATGAATTTGAGAAAATTAATTAAAATTTTTTTACAAAATAAAGCTCTGTTAGTATGAAGAACAATAGTGATAAATCCATTGCACATTCTGCAATCATTTGATGTCACTGCTGCTGACACTAATGCACTTTGCAAAATCAGATCATGAATATGCAGATAGTAATGTATTCCTATCACGTCCATTCAAATTGAACCAATGCTTCAATATCTTTTTGTTTCCCTTCCTAACTTCAGACTTGACCAGCTAGGTTTTATATGTAATTTACAGATAAAACCTAACGATTTAGTCACTTGTAGTTTTTGGTGGCCATTTGGTTCTCAATCTCTTTAAATAATTTCTATCCGAGACCATTAATATCCTTTTGAAATCGTCATATTTCAGCCATTTTTTAGCGTCTGTCTGCCCTTCAAAAGATTGTCAGGGGATTAACATTTTCATAAAACATAAAGCTTGTCTGCTAAAAAATAGTGCATTCGTAAGTTGCTTTACACCACGAAAACGAAAGCTTCAGTTTGTTACCCGAAGACCATGTTAGAAAAATAAAATCTCTGAAAAGGTTGTCTAATAATAAGCGCTTTCGTGCAAATGTTTGCTTTTTCTTTGTTTACAATCCGACAGTTTGGTAACGAGTTATAGGCATTTATTGTTTTGTTCAAACAGCTTAGAATCGCCCGAGCAAACAATATTGAACGCGCTGAATTTTAACTTTCGCCACGACCAGCCAATGAATTTGAGAAAATTAATTAAAATTTTTTTACAAAATAAAGCTCTGTTAGTATGAAGAACAATAGTGATAAATCCATTGCACATTCTGCAATCATTTGCCTTTCAATATCACTGCTGCTGACACTAATGCACTTTGCAAAATCAGATCATGAATATGCAGATAGTAATGTATTCCAATCACGTCCATTCAAATTGAACCAATGCTTCAATATCTTTTTGTTTCCCTTCCTAACTTCAGGCTCTCTGAGCCAGATACTTGTTTTATAATTTGATTAAACCTCACCGAGACAAGGGAAAAAATAAAATGAACATTTGCTTAGGTGACATACGCCTTAAGCCACCTGAGTGACTCACAGATCGGAAAGGGCCTCATTTAAAGTGTAAGGTTTCGGGGATAAAAAACTTACTCAATCAATGTGATCGAATAGTAAACATGTCAACCAACCGCAGGAATGCAAAACCTCTATTAACGTAATTTAACAACTCTAATAATTATGTTAAACTGCGCGCGAGAAACATCATACTTTGATCTAATTTGAGGTATTCTTTTTGGCAAAAAGGATAGTAGATTCTGTTGTTTTCGCTTTCTTGAAGAGTCTGAATACAATCAGGTTATACCAAAGAGATGTGCCTTGGACAATAAAAGCTTCAGGATTCATAGCTTTAGCCCGTGAGAGAGAGAGAGAGAGAGAGAGAGAGAGAGAGGAGAGAGAGAGAGAGAGAGAGAGAGAGAGAGAGAGAGAGAGAGAGAGAGAGAGAGAGAGAGAATTCATGCGTTTCAATTATTTTCTTTCCTTATCGGTTACGAGTGCTTTCCGTCTTATTGTGCCCAAGAAAGCCAGACTTACAATCAAATATTTTTCTTTGTCCGTCTGTAAGAGATACTTCGTAATTGAATGCATCTTCTAATCCACTTGATTAACTTTGCGAAATCAGTCTTGGAGAGTACAGAGTGAACAATAAAAACTAATTCCTTTTTTCATTGAAAATTCAGGTGTCTCACTTGAGCGGCATGCGCCTACCAGCCAAACTTCTGATCGAAAAAATCCACAAGAAGAACAGGAAAGTTCATGTTCATTTGGATGGCGCTCAAAGCTGGGGAGCATTCAAGCACGACCTCAAAGAAATCAACTGTGACAGCTACAGCGGAGGGAGTCACAAGTGGTTCCTTGGTCCCAAAGAGACGGGTATTTTGTACATGAAGGAAGAAAGTGTGCCAAATTTCTGGCCCAAAGATATTGGGTACAATGGCGAGATGAAGCCTCCACCTACCCTCCCGGATGACTCACTACCACATGATGCGTCCAGGTTTGAGATGGTTGGCCAACGGAACGATACCAACCTTATTGGGCTGCTGTATACTGCGGATCTGATGGACTTGATCGGCTTCGACAGAATCGAGGAGAGAATCAAGGCGTTGACCACGCGGCTGAGGGACGGCTTGGACAAGGTGGCGCGCGAACTCGACAATGTGTTCGTGATAGAAACTCCGCCGGAATTGAGCCAGTACCACGGTATCCTGACCATCAAGTTTCAAGACGATCGCGGAACTGGAAAAGGACACAGGCGCAAACATAAAGGAAAGAATCAAGAAGAAGCAGAGCCACAATTGAGCGAAATGTTGTACGACGCGTTGTATGAAGATCACAACATCGGGGTGTCAACCAAGAAAGGAAATCGAATGAGGTTCTCCCCGCATATTTACAACACGGAGGAGCACATCGACCGGGCAGTCGAAGCTGTTCGGTATGAGCTGAGTAAAGTCCTAGAGAAGTAAGGCTTAGTTTAAAAGTACTTCAGCAGCTACTTTGATGTTTTTTATCATCACTTTCAAGAAGAGATGATCCAATTTACGAACTAAAGCTAGTGATAACAGTCTTTTTTTTTAAACCGGACCTAACGTGTTAATGAAAGTAAACGTGCACGAACTCCGAATTCGTTTTCAGTAGTACTCATCAGTTGTGAACTGAACGTCCTTTCCACATAAATACTTTAGTAAAATTACGATTTGACTTGTACTACAACAACTGTTGATCAATAAACTCAGTAACAATGCGTTGTTGTTCCTTTCTGTATAAGATAATTTCCGTATTTCATCTCCATCTTTCACAGCGGGGGGGGGAGTCTTAATGGTTTTCAAAGTGGGATTGAGAAGAGAAACAAAAGCAAATTTCGCTCCTCCCATCAATAAGTCAAAAACAAAGCTGAGTGATTTGACCCCTACGTGTGCACATGAAAAAAGCTCGCAAAATTATTCTCGCTACACGTGCGATCTGAATATCACATAAACCTGCTGTTTCGCCGTTTTAAAGGTGCTGTGGAAGACGCACAAGCAGCGTCAACATAACTTTCTGAAGTCAGTTCTAAGGCAACGCTTTAAAATAGGGAGGATCTCAATCTTCTTTTGTTAATGAAGAACAGCATGCAACCAGATTAGAGCGATCGGTTCGAAAATATCGTTCCGTTCGTTATGGTCGAATGGAAAGTGCTCACGTAAATTTTCCATATGGATGCTTAGCAATTTTTTCAACTGAGAATCTTCTCTAAACTGAGGTACCTTTCACAGAAAGTGCACCACTCTGTGAGTGTTTGGAACAGTATTTTCACAAAGATGCGTACAATTCATATACTTAGTGCTTGAATACAATGAACAATACTCATTTATAAAAAAATAAAAAAAAAAAACACAGGAAAAGAAAACAAAGAAACTTTAGATCCATTTCCGACCCGGTCTGCTGATTCGGCCGCTAAAGCCACAAACGCTCATGATAGACCAAGTTGACACTTACACTCTCCGCGGTTAAAACGTCTGTGGGGGTGCCACAATCTCTTTGCGATGGCCAATTCACATTGTCAACAATGACAGCTACAGTGAAGGGAGTCACAAGTGGTTCCTTGGTCCCAAAGAGACGGGTATCTTGTACATACATACAGAAAGTGTACCCGATTTCTGGCCCTAAATATTGAGTACGAAGGCGAGATGTAGCCTCCAGCTACCCTCCCGGATGACTCATTGCCACATGATATGTCCAGGTTTAAGATGATTGACCAACAGAACGATACCAACCTTTTCGGGCTGCTGTATACCGCAGATCTAATGGCCGTAATTGGCTTCGTAAAAAATCGAGGGGAGAACCAAGGCGTTGATCATGCGACGGAGGGACCACTTTGAAGAGCTGGTGCCCCAAGTCGGCAATGTGTTCGTGATAGAAACTCGGCAGGAGTTGATCAAGTTCCACGGTATCCTGTCCACCAAGTTCGTAGAAGACCAAACTTGGACGAGATTTTGAAAGACAAGTTATATCAAGATCACAAAATCGGCGTGTCGACCAAGATGGAAAATCGAATGCGATTCTACCCTCATATCTTCAATACGGTGGAGCATATCGACCTTGCAGTCGAAGCCATTAAAATATGAGTTGACTAAAATCCAGGCGAACTAAGGTTTCAGTCCAATGGAACCCCGTAGGCTACTTTGATTTTTTTTCAACTCTTATTGTAGGAAATAGACATTCATCCGAATTTATGAGCAGTGGCTTATGATTAAATGAAAACATTTAAACCGGACTTGATTTGTTAGTAAGAGGTTGCGTGAAGTAATGGTTTTTTTAAATTTAGCTTTTCTGGCTATTTTTTGACTAAATTACAACTAACTTAGTACCCACTTTTCTGGCACAACTGGAGCAAAAAAATTTCGGAATAAACACTTCTAAGATGAAGTTAGAAGATCCTCGCAGCTAAGAACACTACTGAAACTAGTAGTTGTAAGTAGGACCTGAAAAAAATTTCAGGCCCGTACATTGAACCCATGACCTCTGCGATACCGGTGCAGCGCTCTACCAATTGAGCTAACAAGCCAACTGGGAGTTGGTCAATGAATTGGGTACAAATAAACATCCGAGTGAATGAAGATTTAGATATATGAAAATTCACATATTTGCACTGCGGTGGAAAGATGAAATTAGAAGATCCTCGCAGCTAAGATGATGAAGATGAATAAAATCTTCATTCACTCGGATGTTTATTTGTACCCAATTCATTGACCAGCTCCCAGTTGGCTTGTTAGCTCAATTGGTAGAGCGCTGCACCGGTATCGCAGAGGTCATGGGTTCAAACCCCGTATGGGCCTGAAATTTTTTTTTCAGGTCCTACTTACAACTACTAGTTTCAGTAGTGTTCTTAGCTGCGATTTTTTGACAGTGCAAATATGTGAATTTTCATATATCTAAATCTTCATTCACTCGGATGTTTATTTGTACCCAATTCATTGACCAGCTCCCAGTTGGCTTGTTAGCTCAATTGGTAGAGCGCTTCACAGGTATCGCAGAGGTCATGGGTTCAAATCCCGTACGGGCCTGAAAAATTTTTTTCAGGTCCTACTTACAACTACTAGTTTCAGTAGTGTTCTTAGCTGCGAGGATCTTCTAATTTCATCTTTCCACCGCAGTGCAAATATGTGAATTTTCATATATCTAAAACTTCTAAGATGTTACGATTTGACTAGAACTGCTTTGGTTATTGACCAATAAACTCAGCAGCGTCGCATTTTTTGGACTTTTGTTTGATAAATTAGTTCGAATTCGGAGTGAGAGAATGTAGTCTCAATAGGTGTTGTAAAAATTTGTGAAAGGGGAGAGCAAGAAAAAGGGTTTGAGCCATGAGAAATATGGTGGTGATTAACAGCAAATTCATCCTTCACGTTTATTTTTCTTACTTAGCTTGGATTTGCAAAGAGAGAAGCAATAGCACAGATGCCACCACTTTTGTAGCCTATGCTCTGGCCGCGAATCTTTCTAAACTTGGCCCATGTGTAGTCTACGAATTTGTTTAACGAAAACGAGTTTGAAATCGACTCAGCCAAGGATGACCACTTAAGTGGGTTTACGATTAAAACCCGTCGGCTCAACGGCAACCTCTTTGGAAAAGAGATTTGCATCTGTAACAGCATTAAGCTGAATTTCGTGAGCCTGCAATCCGAATGACTCTGCCCTACTGAGTTTGTCATGTAATTCCCACTACTTCCCAGCCAATTACATCCGAACTTAAAGCAAATCCTAAATCTATTAAGGCTGTTTTTACGCACTTCGCGCCAAGTGCTTTCATGCGTAAATATTCTGAGTTCTTATAAATTTATCGTGGCCTTAACTAATACTAACCAAAACAACAGACGCATTTTTTTTCCCATTATTAGCTGGCAAACTGATTTCATATCCTGTAACACCAGGCGCACTGCGACCAGCTAATTGTATGCATAGTCACTTACCTCTTTCAGGATCTGAAGATCATTTCCATAGTTGATTTCGGTTTGTACCAGTTCAATAATGGCCTCCTTCCTCTCCACTTTTCTGTCTATGCACTTGGGACAAATCTCCGGTTCTTTACTTCTGTCTTTTTGTTCTTCGCTATTTATTGATGGAACATAGTGCTTCAAACAATCTGGGCATTCGACCTAGAAACGTTGAAAACAACGAAAGGATAATACAAATGTTCCTTTTTCTCCTCGCTTTTATGATTGAAAATTAGTTGATATGAACCATTGGTCTCTAATGAAAATGAGAGGGTTAATCTATTCCTAGTTAAAAGGATTAATACCATGTCTTCAGTTATAGAATGCACAGAACTTCGTTTCCTTGCAGAGGTCGTTTCGTCCTCATTTGCTTTTCTCCTGCGGGCCAATTCTTGCCAGTGACGAGCGGAGGCCGCCACAACGGACCAATGCTCCGAGCTCTTCATTACAATTTCCTCCCAAGAGCGCCTCAAAGGACTTTGTCCCATGTCACCTCCGACACCACTGTCAGTGCGCTCCACTTCGGCCTCGCTCTTGGGATGCTCATCTGAAAAGATAAAAGAAGGTCAAGACTTAAGAAACTAAATTTAATCTCCTAAGAAGGACATGGTCTCTACCACACTTTTAAAAAAATTGATATTGTTTAAAGAAGGCGTGCGGTTATCCGACGTGGCGAATACAGTTGTAATGAATCGATAATACATCAATACAACCAAATGAACATTTCATGATGTTTACACAACGGCTCACCTTCAGAGCCATGGTCATCAAACATCTCCTCCTCAAACTCAGTTGCATTGGAGTCCGTCTCAAATTCGAACATGTGGGGGGAGCCGCTGTCAGCACTGATGTTACTATGGAAACTCTCCCACCTACGTCCTCTCGTTTCTCGCTCGCTGTCAAGCGAGTCCATTTCACTGTACAAGCTAACTGTGTCATCAACCTCAGAATCGGTCAAGCACGCGTTGCTTGCCACACTGAGCATGCTCGTGTGAATACCACCTTTCCGAAGTTTTCCGTTCGCTCGGAAATCTCGCTGTCGGGTATTCGGTGATCGTTTCCCCAATGATTCACCTCGCTTACTTTCCATAGCGTTTCCGTTTTGCATTTTATCGGCCATAACTTTGGTTGCTGAATCACTTGTGGTGATAATGTCTCCCAGCTTTTTCTTATCCGGCAAGGGCGAATCTTTCGATGTTTTCAAGCCTTTGTTAGCAACTCTCTTAAATTTTGTCGCACAAAGAACTGCTCTGGAGGTACCTCGGAGACCAATAGAGCTTTTCCTTTGACTGGATGTCTCAGTCGAGTCGACATTTCGCCTCTCAGTCTTCTCATATACTGTCAAACTGCCTTCTACAACATTTGAATTTGCCATTCTTGGGCCTGCTCCCGTAGAATTGTGATCACTTCCTCGAATTTCATTTGAGTTCTTTTGATCTAAAAACCCAGAATCATTCATTTCTCGCTTCAGAATCTCTTTTCCATTTTCGGTTATTGACGCAGTTTGTGTTGTATTCATCCCCGATGTCTTTCCTCTGCCTGTTAATGCCACTCTTTCTGCCGTTCGAGAATCTTCAGAATCATTTTGCATACCATGCTTTCTTCGCAACTCTCTGAACCGCTCCGCGGCGGACTTTTTCGATTCAAATGTTGCAGCTGTGGGAGCTTTTCGATCAGAAACGGAGCTCCCTTTAGGAGTAGACTCATACAAATGCGAAGAATTCCGCGTTCTTCTTTCTTCCCCTACCGAAACATTTTCAGGATTTGT